AGAGAGAGAGAGAGAGAGAGAGAGAGAGAGAGAGAGAGAGAGAGAGAGAGAGAGAGAGCGGGGGGAGAGGGGGTAAGGGGAACGACAGTGGTAGCATGAAAGTGATAGTAGGCGAAGAAACGAGGTTAGGGTTAGACTCGCAAATGCACAGATGCTGCGCACAGGCGTCTCAGTTGCCAGCATGACCAATAAAGCATCTGTCCGAGTTCAGCGCTGTTACCATACACGCCCAGGCCAACCGCATAGCGGCTATGGGCTAACGCTCCATTAGGAGTGTTCCCAACTTTGATATCATTAATGATTAATGATTAATGATTGATAATCCTAACCCTATAACCCTAACCCTATGATTAATGATTGATAATCCTAACCCTAACCCCGTTTGTGGTTTAATGTCATTTAGGTTATAATATATGACCATGACCATATATATATATATATATATATATATATATATATATATATATATATATATATATATATATAAGTATATATGTTATTATGACCATTAATGACATTAAAGTTGGGAACACTCCTAATGGAGTATCACCCTGTATAGGCGAACTGACGACTGTGAGAGTAGTCGTTGTTGCGCGTCGTGTTGTTGTTCGTGTGTATTTTATTTCACCGGTGATTGATTACGGTGATGTGTTCGCTTGCTGCGGGCCGATCCGATCTTATTACCGGATCTAGCACGAAATACGAGCGCACACGTGCAGCCACACGCGCACCTAGAAATGCGCACTCACACGCACAGCCATAAATACGCACGCACACACTCGCCCAGAAATGCGCACGCGCGTACGCACTCAGAATTGCTCACGCACATACGCACCCAGAAATGCGCACTCACATGCACAGCTTGAAATACGCACGCCCAAACAGCCACGCAGGCAGAAGTACGCACGCACACGCGCAGCCACGCAGCCAGAAATGCTCACGCACGCACAACAGCCGACAACACACGTTTGTGCACGCACGCGCGCACTTGCACCCACGAGCATACATGAGCATTTATACGGATAAACGCACGCACGCACGCGCACGGGGACGTGATTACTTACGCATTCTCGTACGGATACCCGGGGCGCGCATGTGCACGCACCACAAGACACGCACGCACGCGTAGACACTGCGACATTGCGTCCGACTTTACCTGACAGCAGTTACCGTCGTGATGGCGACAGCTGTGGCGTCGTTGATGATTGATCGCTGGCGCCTTTGACGACACCCACAGCCACAGCAGCAGGGGCGGCGGCGGCGGCGGCGGCAGCAGTAAGCGCTAATTTACTCGTGACACGCGCACGGCAGCCGAAGATATGCAAACAGGCAGACGTCGACGGCAGGCGTCTGCATGCAACGGTTCTGCCTGACCGGTGCCGCGCGTGCGCAACATGCGGTGTAACGTAACTACGTTAGCAGCGCCTGTCGCGGGCCAGCCTGCCACGCCACGCCGCAGCTCGGCAGCGGAGTTCTTTGTCCCACATACTGGCACAGTAGAACAAAGGGGGGACCGCGATCAGCTGCCGCCTGACGGCCCGATCATCAGCTTCCCCCCACGCGCGCTCGAGCGTCCCGTTGCTAGGCGCCGTGAAGTCTGCATCGTCTACTCACGCGCGCGTTCGAACGCAGACGATGATGGAAGAAACAAATTCCCCCCCCCCGCGCGCACTCCGTGCCCCGTGGTTCAGCAGTCGAGAAATGTATTGCGACGCTGCGCGAGGGGCGGCACTCGTGTCGCCAGGACAACAGCGTCGCTGCGGCCACGTGTCAGACGATCACATACGCTTGATACGCGCACAAACGCAATCAGATGCAGAAATGTATATCTATCCATATATAACACACACAATTCACGAATATCGAATGATCACAACAGGACTTTATTCACAATAAAACACCTTTACGGATTGGATTTCATGATACGGGCACGACACAACCGCGACTACACAATGCAGGGGTTCGTGAAATATCTATTTTTCCATTTCCGACATTACCGCGTATATATGTATAGCGTGAAGAATTCCATTGGCCACACAGTCTATTAGATGAAAGGCTTTTTAAATGCATTACTAACATTTCCCACCAGCGCGGGATCACGAAATCGCAAAAATACAGCTATTTTCATTATACAGACGTCAAAATATCAGTATGAAATATATAATAGCTTAGATGGCTATGATAACTTCACATTTATATAAGCTTAGGTGCGTCTTGCAAAAATATACGTCTTGCTATAAATAGACATTTACTACAACTGAAACAAGTGAGCAGCAATGCGTATCAGCTGACATTTATGCTTAGATGCTACATATATATGTGTTAAAACTTCAAACGAAGATTGACTTTGGCAGTTTGACGAAAAAAAATTTGCCACAAAAGATGACAAATGCGAAACTACGTGAATACTTTATGACTAGTTAATTGTATATGTAAGACACTTTTAAATAACACAAAACAACACAAATAACTATCTCCGAAAAATAAATAAAACATCGTAGAATCATAATTTCTGTATACATAAATAGGATTTAAAATAAAAGTCGGATAATAAATAGATTGTGTCGTTTTACGATCGATTCTTTGAGTATAGCAGCGTACATTAGGGACGGCACAGTTAATTGCAGGCACTTGTCAATAAGCGAATGTATTAAGCCTCTTGGAAACGATGCTGGGACGGGGCGGGTCGTGAGCTGGAGTGAATCGCAGTGTGGGTGGACCATGGGGCACGGAGGATCCGGTGGGTTAGGGTGGGGGCGCGGGTATTGCACAAAATGGGTTGTAGCACGACCGATTCAATCGTTGTTTTACGCGTATGACGCCACCATCGCCTACACTTGGTTCACCGTAACCTTTCTGCACATCGGCATTCTGTGTACGTGATTCAGTAGATGACTGCATCCACTGTTGGTTACGTTATCGGTCCGTACAGCCGACTGAATCCACTGTTGCCTACGTCATCAGTCTGTGTTAAAAACTTGATCCACCCTTTTTCACGCCTGGCTCCAGTCTGGTTTGTGGCGGACTCGATCTGTCGTTAATTATGTCATCAGTTTGTGTAGATGACTGGATTCATTCTTGTCTACGTCATCAGTCTGTGTATCGGACTGAATCCATCGTTGTCTACGACGTCATCAATCCGTGTAGACCACTAGAGTCACTGTTGTCTACGTCATCAGTCAGCGTAGTTCACTGGATCCACTGTCGGTTACGTCATCAATATGTGTAGATGACTGGATCCACTGTCGGTTACATCATCAATCTGTGCAGATGACTGGATCCACTGTTGGTTACGTCATGAATGCTGCTTGTATGATTTCAGCTAGGACTAGATGAGTCTCTCTGTGGAGATTACTTTGGTATATATTGTTGTTTTCTATAGTCTCGCCGTTTGGCTAATAGCTTGGTTAGTAAGCAAACTTGCGTCCTCCACAGTAGTTGACCAGGCCGTTAGTCGTAGTTATGGACTCACACCCATCGCCGTTTGTGTTCATTGACGACATAAAGCGTCGTGTGTGTTCACAGATCGGACGTATAACGCCGATCGTAGACTTTCCCTACCGTCGTTCGCCTTCATAGAGGTACGCGACAGTCGTTCGCGCATTTGAAGACCGGACCGACCGTCGTTTGTAGACGGACGCGTCTCTCGTTCATATGGTAGGCAGCTGCAGCAGGATCACCTGGCGGTTCTCCGTCGGATGACACTTGTTGATGTGTCGCGTGAGACCGGGCGACGTGAAGAATGTGCTGTCGCAATACTTGCACGGGTACGTGTCGCTGACGTGTGTGCGCGCGTGCTTGTCAAGCTCGGCGCGTGTGCCGAAGCCGCAGCCGCAGACGATGCACCGGTGCTGCCGCAGCGCGGCGCCTGCAGCGCCACCGTGCAGCGCCAGCACGTGGCGCACTCTGTCGGCGCCGCCGTCGAACGTCGGCGGACGGCGCGGTGGCGTAGCCGGGGCGCCACCGACGTGGTGTGCCTGCATGTGCTTCCGCAGGTATGCCTGCCGCTTGAAGGTCTTACCGCACGTGCCGCATCTGTACTCGCCCTCCGAGTTGCACGTCGTCTCCTCCAGACGGCGCTGCTCCTCCCTCGGCGCGTCGCCACCGTCGCTCTTCTCCTCCCGCGGCGGCGACGTTGCCTCGGGCTTCGGCTTGTGCCAGCGGCGGTGCGAGGCGAGGTTGGCGGGACAGTTGAACACCTTGTCGCACTCGGGGCAGCGATACTCGATATAGACGATACGCGAGCAGCGATGCTGCGCCAGCTGGAATGCGTCCTCGTAGCGATGCTTACACAGCTGGCACACGTACGCGCCGATGCGGTTCTCGATCTTCGCGAGGTCGGCGCACGCTTCCGGTGTCATGGCGACGAGATTGAGCGCGGCGTCGATGTCGGCGCACTTCTCGACGACGATGTCGTCGCCGGCGTTATTGTCGGCGGCCGCGTCGTCGCTGTCGCGCGCCGCCCGGATGATCGTACCGGATACGGGCGACGCCGTCTCGTCGTCGAGACACAGCCGGCGCGCGGCACGTGACTTCTTCGGCGTGCGCGGCTTGCCGTGGTCTCCCACCAGGCGGCGCTTCGACGGACTGGACATCGATGAGGGGGAGCTGCTGTTGTCAGGCCTGGTGGGCGTGGCGCGCTTGGGCGTGGCGGGCATGTTGCCCGGGGAGTGCACGCTCAGCTTGTCGAAGCCGTTGATGTAAAGCAGCGGCGATGTGCCGGCCGTGAAGTACGGGTGGATGGACAGCGGCAGGGGAGAACTCGACGCCGTTGAGCCCGGGGACCGGGAGTCGAGGCTGAGCGGCGAATCGCGGTCACTGACGGAGTCACCGCCGCCGCCGCCGCCGCGGTACAGCGGCACGCGTATGGGGCTGCTGCGCGCCGCCCGCCACAGCTCGGGCGACCACTTGTCCGGTCGGCACAGCGTCGGCATCCACGCTCTGCCGCCGGCCGGAGGTTCCGGCGACCACGCCGCCTGGTGAGCGTTTTCGTCGCGCGGCCGACCAACGTTCCAGTTGCCATTGCGCGCCGGCTCGGGAGACCATGCCGACTGACTGCCGACGTCGGTGTGGTCGTCGCTGTCGCTGCGGTCGTCGCTGCGGTCGTCGTCGGAGACAGAAGCGGCGCGGTAGGAGACGCACACGTGAGGGCGCGCGCGTCTCTTCACTAGAAATCCGCGCGGCATCGTGGATTACACTAGTCGCTCTGTAAATTGCACTTGTCGGCCTGTGAATTGCACTTGATTATTGCACACACATCAATTGCTCTGCTCGTGTGTTTATTGCACTTGTGGTACACGCATTCACTTTTCGTCTCTTGAATACAATAGTTATGCAATCCACTGCTCGTCTCTTGATTGCACTGGCCCGTACGTGCCACTCTTCGCCTTTTGATTGTACTGCTCCCTGGTTATTGCACCTATCTCGATAATATTGCAGTTATTGTCGCATTGTACCGTCCGGATATTAGGCTTTCCGCACAGTCTCACAGCGTTCACGGCAGTGTGTGCGTAGTTGCAGCAGCTAGCTATACCTGACATGTGCATGTACGTGGTCTATCTACATGACAACTATCACCGCAGCTCCTCCCTGAACACGCACGCGACCCTCAGGTAAACACATATCAGCGATGATCATGGCATCGCCTGCTCACACGGTAGTGCGAAAATCTCTGGGGGGGGGGCGTTATGACGTCGCGTGATACTGTTGAGAGAAACGAGAATCTGGGGATGTGTAGCTGTCGCTGGCGACTACTTGTTGCTATCGGCTGCTACCTGTCGCTGTCGGCTACTACCTGTCGTTGACCGCTGTTACCTGTCACTATCGGCTGCTACCTGTCGTTGACCGCTGCTACCTGTCGCTATCGGCTGCTACCTATCACTATCGGCTGCTACCTGTCACTATCGGCTGCTGCCTGTCGTTGACCGCTGCTCCCTGTCGTTGACCGCTGCTACCTGTCACTATCGGCTGCTACCTGTCGTTGACCGCTGCTACCTGTCGCTATCGGCTGCTACCTGTCGCTATCGGCTGCTACCTGTCGCTATCGGCTGCTACCTGTCGCTATCGGCTACTACCTGTCGCTATCTGCTGCTACCCATCATTGTTGTCGGTTACTACGTGTAGCTGTGTGAACGCGGCTGAGTATACCTGTATTATATACGGTAGGCGTTTACCTGCGCGCTATAGTGCTGGCTGATTCCAGCACAGCCCGCCAATCAGGCAGCCCGTCTGACACTCACACACACATACACATACACACAGTCTCACTCTCCTGTGCGCTCTCACAGCGACGCAGACCGTGGTAATCACTGACGAGCATGCGCGTAGCCACCGTTTGATACGTTCCACTCTTCCTGTGTCAGCTCTTGTTCAGATTCCTCCGCTACTGAATGTTTATTCGATGGACTCAGTGTGTTGTTGGCTTCACTTCGTAACTGGTAGTAATGAGTATGTGCGATCGGAACGTTGAATCGGAGAGTCTTTTGTTCACGCGGGAACCCTTTCTCTCTGATCGGGACTGTCCTGTATTCTACCGTTGGTTCTTCGCACGTTGCAGTTCCGGGTGACTCTGGCTCCTTCGTCGTTAGTGCACGCTCCTGTAGTATAGCGTATATGTGATCAGAAGCCGTAGCAGCAGCAGCAGCAGCAGCGTTGTCAATGTGAGAGGAGCAGCTCTATTGATTGACACACGCGATTCGCACCTCCGTACGACCGTATACTGATTGCTGCCGCTGTTTTTAACGCAGTGGAGAGAATGTTCCTACACTCAGAGTCTGTGATTCTTACTGTCATTCAATCCACGGATTGTGATTCCTGCTGTGTCACCAGTAGGCTTCGATTCCTGTTTGTCACCCACGGGTTAGGATTCCTGCTGTGTCACCAGTAGCCTCTGATTTCTATTTGTCACCAATAGGCTCCGATACACACTGTGTCACCCACAGATTGTGATTGCTGCTGTCTCAATGATACGGTGATTCCTGCTGTGTCACCCACAGGTGGTGCTTCTTTCGATGTCAGCTACAGGCACTGATTTTCCTCTTTTCTCTCTCCTATTACATCAATTACTCAAGCCCGTTGTGTCATGCATGTTTCACGTGCAACGACCGGTGCTCTCTACGTCTTATGCCGTGTGTCACGCCTCGTGTGTCATACACGGTTAGCCACTGTGTCATACACCGCGTGTCACGCCTTTTATGTCATGCACGGCTAGTTATGATGGTCGCGGCCACACAGCGCGTGCCATGCCTCCTATATCTCCTTTACGGGCTCGGTACCACTGTTGCGTCATACACTGTGTACCATACCTCTTCTGCCGTACACGCTTAGCTGTTGTTTCATACACAGTATGCCATGTCTCTTCTCATGTCGCGCACGGTTAGTTGTGACTGCTGTGCAGTGCATTGGGTGTCGCGCTGGTTGGCCCTGTGAGAGTGCGTGTGTTAGCGAGGCGCGCCTGGCGGGCGTCTGCTACCATCTGTCGTCCGCGCGCGTCACGCCGGCATCGCTCGTTGCTGTCATAGATTCCTGCTACGTCGTCATTTAATAAATGTTCAACAATTAGCGCTTAAACTGGGATACGAGTCACCACCAATCACACCGCAGCGTCGCAGACGCGCACGTTAGACTGTCCCCACGCCGTGTTAGGTCGACACTGCCCCAGTAACACAAAGCAGGAGAGTGCATTAATTAAGTCCCTGTATGAAACCCGATCGATATACATACATACATATATATATATATATATATCAAGAGTACATACATACATATCAGGAGTAGATAATAGGGATAATAGTCCCTATTATCTACTCCTGATACATATATATTCTTCGGCGTAGGCACGACCATAAACACGGAGGTATCTTTATCATCATTATGTACAGAAGGATAATAATATAGATTAATTCTCTATAATATTTCTAACGAAAAAATATAGGTTCTTGTTATGACGCAATGATATGATGCAATCACGCACGTACGTACGCCCACACCCGAGATCGGGCGTATGCGCGCACGCGTGAGTATTTATTTACATTGCCCGCGAACGCAGGCTCCATTGCGCTATCTCTCCTAGTCTTACTCTGCCTGATTTATTTCCTCTCTGTAATGGTCGTATTGGGTTAGATATGATGAACAACGATCAGCCTGCCATGTTAAATGCGTGTAACGCAGCAATAAATAAAGGTAATGTCCGCGTCGGAACCCATCTACGTCGATAAGGACTCCTCCACTTCACCGACGCGAACACTAGACGTTCACCACGTCTCGCGATCCGCACTGCACGATAGCACTCTACGGCCTGCGCGGCCGTCTACGGACTCTGACAGGTTGAGGTCTCCCGTGCGTGCTGGCTCCCTGGCCCGCGTCTGCACGGCTTTGTTCTGCGCGGGACAAAGAAGGACGCGTGGCTCGACATCGAGCGACGGTGTCGCAACAGTGGTTGGTAACGAGAGAAAAACGATGGAAACCCGACCACTGTTGACGAAAAACAGTGTCGTAAGCCGAGAAGAGAGAAGAAGCTAGATGATGTAGAGATAGGGAGGTATAGAAAAAATAGGTAGCGCGCGAGACACACCAGCACGAGGTTCACCCATGGGGGATTCCCTTATTGGGAATCCGCAAAAATTCAGAATATCTATTACTATATATCGGCATTATATAATACCATGCGCTGTGAATATCGAAGCGCAATCTAGAAGCAGAGGGGACGAGAAAAAAAGGGGGGCTATTTAATAAGGAGATGGGGGGTTAGAGAAGAGAGATAGCGCGATCGAGGGAGAGCACGGGAGCAGGGAAGGGCAAGAGAATAAGACAGAAAGAGAGCGAAAGTGTGTGAGAGAGAGAGAGAGAGAGAGAGAGAGAGAGAGAGAGAAGATGACTGACAGGCAGCGAGACAGAGCGACCGGAGGGACGTACGGAAAATATTATATATATTTAATAGTATAATATATATATATATATAATATGATAGATAGAGGGATTCGATAGATAGATAGGATAAGATAGATAGATAGCTGAGAGAGAGCAAGAGAGAGAGAGAGAGAGAGAGAGAGAGAGAGAGAGAGAGAGAGAGAGAGAGAGAGAGGGAGTGAGAATGAGCACGTGAAAGGAGGAACAGGACCGATAAAGAAAATGAGAACAAGCGCGCGAGCGATAGACAGCGAGAGGGAGAGAGAACAAAGCGTGGGAGGGAGGCAGGGGGAGAACGTGGGAGAGAACATTAGTACACGCGACAGAGAACGACGAGGGTGTGGCGATAAAGCTGGAGAGGGTTCAGAAGAGGGTATTCGCGGGCAGAACGTGAAGGGATGACTGAGATCGCTATTAAGTATACAGTAACAGTATACAATGACAGCAGCATGATTGGCAGGCGCGGTATCTGCTGCCGGCGTCACCCCATTCTCCCACCCAACCCACGAACACCCGCTCCGCCATTGAAAAGTTTACCCAGTTTAATTAACATTTTTACAGCATTGTCTGAAATGTTTTATACTGTTGCAATAATCCTCGTGACGATGAACGGAACAGAATATTTTTGCGAAATGAATCTCTCGCGACGATGAAATAAAGTTTGTGAGGGGGATGCGATGATAATGTGACGAATGATGTAACGCTTATCACATCCTGAGATACGGGTCAATATGAAATGTGGAGGTCAATACTGGGAGGTGGGTGCCCGAGAAGAAGCGAGAGAGTCTCTGGTGATCAAGCGGGAAGCCGTAGGTAAAGATCGTCTGCTCTGCCGATGGAATAGTGAGGAACACGTTGGAATTATTGTGCGCGTGTGTGTGTGTGCGATTGCGTGCGTGAGGGCACGCGTGTGTATTTGTGTATATGTGTGTGTGCTACATGAGAGCATGTGTGCGCGTATCCTGTGTGTGATATCCGAGAAACACAGGTGCGGTAAATTAATTGCAGGTAGAAATGCGATCCGACACAGAGACGTGATGCTGCATTGATGTCTGCCAACAAGAAAAAGCCGTCAGCATCGCCTACACGTCTGCTATATAATATAATGTAATATAATATAATATAATATAATATAATATAATATAATATAATATAATATAATATATAATATAATATAATATAATATAATATAATATAATATAATATAATATAATATAATATAATATAATGTAATGTAATGTAATGTAATGTAATGTAATGTAATGTAATGTAATGTAACGTAACGTAACGTAACGTAACGTAACGTAACGTAACGTAACGTAACGTAACGTAACGTAACGTAATATAATATAATATAATATAATATAATATAATATAATATAATATAGTATAATATAATATAATATAACATTATATAATATAATATAATATAATGTTATGTAATGTAATTATAAAGATGTGTGTGTGTGTGCGCGCGCGTGTGTGTGTGTGTGTGTGTGTGTGTGTGTGTGTGTGTGTGTGTGTGTGTGTGTGTGTGTGTGTGTGTGTGTGTGTGTGTGTGTGTGTGTGTGTCGTGTGTGTGTGTGTCGTACGTCGTACGTGTCGTGTGTGTGTGTGTGTGTGTGTGTGTACGCCGTCGTCGGTCGTCGTGTGTAGT